GAAGTCCTCTACTTTTGTTGATGCCCCATTCCTAATTTCAGTCATGAACCATTTGGCAAAAACCGGCATGACAGACATCCAACTATTCCACATCCAAGATCCCTTAGAAGATTTTTTAGCATGAAGGAGGCTGTCATCTGGAAAATATCTATCTTTTAGCACTTTGCTGACTAAGAGATCAGGGTTAGTTGCAATTCTCCAGAGCTGCTTGCAGAGAAGAGCCTCATTGAACAGTCTGATGTCAAGAAAGCCTAGGGCACCTTTTTCTTTGGGAAGGGAAAGAAGCTCCCACCTCTTCCAGTGAATACCTTTGCTGTTATCATCACCTGAGTGCCACCAAAATTGAGCACACAATCTTGAAAGATCTGAGCAGATTGAGATGGGAACCTTAAAGCATGACATGGTGAATATGGGAAGTGCTTGAATCACTGATTTGATTAATACTTCTTTGTCTGCTGTTGACAGAAGCTTAGACATCCAGTTTTGCAGCTTTCCTTTAAAGGACTGAATGAGATAGTCAAAAACTTCTTTTTTTAATCTTCCAATGCCAAGAGGGAGGCCTAAGTATCTGGTGCTCATGTGGGATGTGATGCCATTAAGGGCAGAGCAAATAGAATTCTGCAGATAACTTGGTGTGTTCCTGCTGAAAAAAATGCCTGATTTAAGAAGATTAACCTGTTGACCAGTAAAAAGTCTATATTTTTCCAGAAGAGAGAAGAGCAGATTAGCTTGATCAATCCCAGCTTGGCAGAAAAACAGAGAATTGTCCGCAAATAAGAGATGAGAAAGAGCAGGACCATTCTTAGAAAGTTTTAGGCCTTTGAGACTGCCTTGGTTTTGAGAATCCAAAATTAGGGCAGAGAGTAATTCTGCAACTATGATGAAGAGGTAGGGGGAAAGAGGATCCCCCTGCCTAATTCCCCTAGAAGGTGAGATGTATCCACTGACAGTGCCATTCACTTTGAATGAAATTGTGGTAGAGGAGACACAGACCATTATCAAGTTAACAAAGGAGGCATGAAAACCCATTTGCAGCATTAATCTTTTGATACTTTACCATTCCACACGATCGAAAGCTTTCATAATGTCAAGTTTCAATGCCATGAAGAAATTTTTTCCTGAGGTGTGTCTATTCAAGACATGGAAGGCTTCCTGGGCCAGGACCACATTGTCCATGAGTTGTCTGCCTTTGATGAAGGCAGATTGATAAGGGCTGATACATAATTGCAAGCAATCCTTAAGCCTCTGAGCAAGAACTTTAGACAAGATTTTGTACACCACACTGCAGAGACTGATTGGCCTGAAGTGCCCAAGATTTACTGGATTTGGGATCTTTGGAATCAGAGAGAGAATAGTATGGTTCCAGTAACTTAGGAGAGCTCCAGTATGGAAGAAGCTGAGGATGGCATCCATGAGATCAGATTTGATGATACTCCAGTAGTGTAATTAATAACTTATAAAATAATATAAGTTAAAAAATCAAATTGTTATTATGAAATATAATAAAATATTATTTAATTATATTTTATTTTAATTATTTTACTACAATTTGTGCATTTATAATTTCTTTTATAATATAAGTGCTTAAAATTATTTTTTTTAGTTAATTAAATCCATAACTATTTCCTATAAGTTCTAATTTTATTAATTATTATTCTCCAAATATATTAAACTTGCTTTTGATATATTATATCACTTGGGTACTTGGGTTAATTAACATATAATTCAAAATATTATTCTTTTATAATTTTTATCTTACCTATTGTAAATAAGTAGCATAATATAATTTATAACTCAAATTGAATTAATGAGAAAATTAATCATTATAAGCTATCTTTTTATCGGGAATTAATAAAATTATTTTTAGAATTTGAGAAATATCTAAACAAATAAATTGTGGAAATATAAGTTCACATCCAAATGAAAAACTAATTTACATCCATTAACCAAAATAAATATCCAGTACATTAAATATGAAAAAAAAAAACACAAAATATAAAATGGAAACAAACATACATATATGTAATATTTTCATTATTTTACAAACCATTAATGTCATTATATTTGAAAACTAGCACAACACCCGTGTATTACACGGGTGTTTGCTAATTTTTTTCTTAAAATTTAAAATTAATGAGAAAAAGTAGTTTGAAAATTTAAATACCTTTTATAAGAATATATATATATATATTATTATATATTTATTATGATACATTTTATTTGTGCGACTTATTTGTGTTATATTATACTAATTTTTTAACTTACACTATATAACTACATTAAATATAAATATATCAATTGAGAAATAATTTTATTTTTCTAATGAATTTTAAAACTATTATTATTTTTTATTATTATAAAGATAAATATAATATGGATGTCAAATCGAAGATCATCAAAAGATGATTAATTTGATATATTATATATGTAAAACCGATAAGAAATACAAAAGTTATCTACTTTTAAAATAAATTTATAATTCAATAGCTTATTGAAGGAAGCAAATCAAAATTTAGGGATATATTAGTCACTTAGTGTCTCACTATTTAAAATTACAAATAATTAAAAGGTTATATTAGTAAAAGTGATATTAAAATTCCTAAGTTGACTAAATAATATTTATGGAATACCCGAACCTAGATTATTAATTATTAATATATTAATATTATTTGTCCAAACCTAATTACGAACCATGATTCTTCGCCAAATAGGATTCCGAAGCACCAGAAGCAGTCACGTAGGCTCAGCGCATTCTGGAATTATATATAGGGAGGATGTTATGACTAATTAATTTGGTCAAATAGTTGTTTTCTATATATGGATGATTAAATTATAATATGACATTATACAAAAAATTAAGATACATTTATATTGAAGCAAATAATTTTGTAATGTAATAGACATGTGCAACAGATCTATGCCCTTTAATTATTTTAAGTATTCATAATACTTCAAGTTTATGTTTCATATTTTATGTACTTAAATTGGCCAATCTACATAAAAAAATTCATTGTTATATAAAATTATTTTTCGAACCCAAGGCATTAAAAATTAAACTGAGTCGACATAATAATTTATGTATATTATCAAAATATAATTGTATAGATACATATATAAAAAAAAACACTAAGAAATAGAATGAGCAAAATTGTAATTTACTCTAAACAAATCTTAATATGTCACATGGTGACTTATTATTGGACTCTTATATTGGGTAACATAATGGAAAAATAACTAAAAAATGTGTGTAGTTATTTTCTTAAAAATTTATTTAACATGAAATACCACAGGTTAGTTAATTTTTCCTGCATTAGTTTGAAAAATATTATGTTGACAAAATAGAAATATGAAAAAAGAAATTAATCGATATTTCAAACACCAATTACAAGACATTAAAATGAAGAACTAATGTGTTGCTTATTAAATCATAAGCGTATTATATAAGTTGACATCCAAAACTCGAAACTAATCCATTAACCAAAATAAAATATCCATTAAACTAAAAAAAAAAA